TTAATATAGAGCACTTCCTAATAAGGCAACTGAATATTCGGTTGCCGAGAATGGGCGACTTCAGCCGGATGCTTTTCTCCAATGATCAGCCTCTTCTGCGCACATCGCAAAGGAGCGGTTCTGATTTCTCCCTGTGTCCATACAGATTGCACGACTCTTGTCTCTCATTCTTCTGTCTTTCCCTTTATTCCTATGTTTTGACTGGTTCTCCGTTGCTACTACACGTCAGCATTCTGAGACGAAAAGAGTAGAAGGGAAAGCCCCTTAAATAAGGCAGCTAGAAGTTCGAAGAGTGACAGATACTGTGCTCTCAGGGAGATCGTTGCAGAAAGTCGAGTGCCACTTTTTCTGTACTGCGGAGAAAAATGTCCCTGCTTGGAGGCAATGCTGTAGCCTGATGTCGCACATTCTCAGCACCCGAGAAAAACGAGATTACTGCTGAAAGCAGAAAGCGGCACTCGCGGTGAACCGCTGCTAAGAGTTTGAGTTGCTGGAAACTGCTACATGGTTGCCTTGTATTCAGGCAAGATCCTCTGCACTGTGCTGCGTATGAAGTGCATGTATCTTTCTTTTGACTGACAGTTCGTATTCGTGAGGAATACGACCTTACAATCAAAAATACCTAATTAAACAGAAATATCACATTGTCATCAAGAAATACCAGCCCCATTCAAAGAATTGGAGCTTTTCACCAAAAAAAGCCTATTCACTCCACAAGTGACATTTCACAACAGAAAAACAAATATTCTCCAAAAAAAAAAAAAAAAAATTTCAAAAGAAATATCACTTTTATACCTAATATATGAAATTTTACCCCGGAAATAAAAAAATAATGAATTCTTTTGAAAGAAAAGGATCATAAATTTATGAAAAACGTGGAATTAGTGAACGAAAACGCCATACCTAAGGGAAAAATATATTCTCTGTGAAAAATATGACAAATTCATCAGCCTAAAATAGTATGTCTGATAGAAAATATCAATCTTTTTGACATTTTAGGAAAAATTAAACAGTGTATCTAGAAAAAACTTCAGCATTAGAATGAAACTTTCCATTTTTGGGAGAAATATCATATTCCTGAAAAAGAAATCATATTTCCAATAGCAATGCTTATTTCTGAGAGATAACACTACATTTCTAGGGGAGTGTTTTTAATTGAAAAATAAAGATATTTCTCAGAAAGCTGCTGTTTTGGGAGATAGTAGCATACTTGGTTGGAAAATGACATGTGTTTGTGAGAAAGCTGGTATTTTGGGAAAAAGGGCCCTATTTGTAAGAATAAGCTGGTATTTCTGCAGGAATTAATCCCATCTTTGGGAGTAATCTGGTTTATGTGGGAGAAAATGTCGTGTACTTGGGAGAAAACTGGACTATGTGGGAGAAAAGGCCATTTTGATGGGAGTAAGTGTGTTCCTGAGGAGTATCAAGTAGTTGTGACATTTGTAGTGGAAAATGTCATGTGTTTCGGCGAAAAGTAGTCTTTCTGGGAGATAATGTCATTGGATTGCAGAAAGCTGGTATTTCTGGGAGCTAATGTCTTCTTTTTGGAAGAAAATGCCGCCCTTTGGGTGTAAAACGGGCATTTCTGAGAGAGTATGTCATTGAATGGTGAAAAAGCTGGTATTTCTGGGCAAAAATATCATATGCTTGGGAAAGAGAGGGTATTTCTGGGAGAGAATGTCATCTATTTGGTAGAAATTGTCATCTGTTTTGGAGAATGGTGGTGTTTCTGGGAGAAAATCTCATTAGTTTTGGAAAAAGCTGGTATTTCTGGGAGAAAATGTCCTCTTTTTGGAGAAAATGTCATCATGAGGATTGTATATGAAGAAAGCTTGATATATTTAAGAGACAACTGGTATTTCTGGCAGAAACACATTTGGGAGATGAAACGGCCGTCTGATTGTTAGGAGTGTGAAGTAGTGTAAATGGGAGGAAATGTGAAATATTTCTAAGGAAGCTGGCATTTCTGGAAGAAAAGATGGTATTTCCGGGGGAAAATGTCCTCTCTTTGAGGAATGCTGGTAAGTCTGGAAGGAAATCTATTTTTGGAGGAAAGGGTGATAAGAAGGATGGGAAAGTATGATGTTAAGTATCATCCTGTGCAGTGTGAAGTAGTACTTGTGGTAGAAAATGTCACCTATTTGGGAGAAGGCTGATATCTGTGGGAGAAAAGATCGTATTTTTGTTGGAAAAGTCACCTTCGGCATTGTCATGTAGTATTTTGTGGATGAACCATGAAGTATATGTAAGAAAAGCTGTATTTCTGGGAGAAAACGTCATCTGTTTGGGGAGAAAGCTGTTTTTTCAGGGAGAAAGTCTTCTTTGGGGAGGAAATGTCCTCTTTTGGATGGCCAAGTAGTACCTGTGGGAGGAAATGCCATGAATTTGGGAGAAGGGCGGTATTTCTGGGAGGAAATGCCATAGGTCTGGAAGAAAGTGTCCTATTTAGGATTGAAATGTGATAGTTGTGGTGGAAAATGTCATGTGTTTGGGTGAAAAGTAGTATTTCTGGGAGATAATGTCATTGGATAGGAGAAAGCTGGTATTTCTGGGAGGTAATGTCTTCTTTTTGGAAGCAAATGCCATCCTTTGGGTTAAAAACGGGCATTTCTGAGAGAAAATGTCACGGAATGGGGAGAAAACTGGTATTTTGGGGCAAAAATATCATCTGTTTGGGTGAAAAACGGGCATTTCTGAGAGAAAATGTCATGGAATGGGGACAAAGCTGGTATTTCTGAGCAAAAATATCATCTGTTTGGGAAAAAGCGGGAATTTCTGGGAGAAAATGTCATCTATTTGGAAATAGATGGTATTTCTGGGAGAAAATGTCCTCTTTTTGGTAGAAATTGTCATCTATTTGGTAGAAAGGTGGTGTTTCTGGGAGAAAATATCAAGTGCTTGGGAAAAAGCTGATGTTTGTGGGAGAAAATGTCCTCTTTGGGGAGAAAATGTCATCTTGAGGATTGTAATGTCGTTTTGTTTGGAGAAAGCATGAGGTATTTCTAAGAAAAGTGGTATTCCCAGGAGACAGGATCATCGTTCGAGGGGAGTGGGGGTGAGGTGGTATGTTTGTGAAAAAGCTGGTATTTTGGGAAGAAACCTTCATATATTTAAGAGAAAACTGGCATTTCTGGCAGAAACACATTTGGGAGATGAAACGGCTGAATGACTGTTAGGAGTGTGAAGCACATTGATGGGAGAAAATGTCCTCTTGAGGAGTGTATTGCGGTATATTAGGGAGGAAATGGGAGGTATTCCTAAGAGTGCTGGTACTTCTGGGAGAAAATGTCTTATCTGGGAGAGGAAAGGTCATCTATCTGTGAGAAAGCTGGAGTTTCAGGGAGAAAATGTCATCTTTTGGGGATAGAAATGGTATTTCTGGCAGACCATGGCAGGTATTTGTGAGAAAA